GGACGGCGGCGTTGGCGCTGCGCTTCGACAAGCCCATCAAGCAGGCCTTCTACAACACGGGGGCCGTGCTGTTCGTGTGCCTTTGCTGCGGCGCCGCGGTGCTGGTCTATTTCATCCTGGAGGCCTTCCTGCGGCCGCTGCTGTGGGCAGTGCTGTGCGGGACCTTCTTGCACCCCTTCAAGAGCTCGCTGACCCGCCTGGGCCGCCACTGGCTGCACCGGCTGCACCGCGCGCATACGCCCATCGTGCTGGCCGCGCTGCTGCTGCCGCTCTGCTTCGCCGACTACGGCGTGGAGGTCCTGGGCGAGCAGGCGCTGCGCCGCCGCCGCCTGCTGCTGCTGCTGGGCGCGGGCGGCCCGCTCCTGTACGGCCTCTACTGCCTCGGCAGCTACCTGGGCGTGCAGGTGCTGCTGGCGCACGCCGGCGCGCTCATCTGTCGCGGATTGGACTACTTCAGCAGCCTGTGGGTGAGTCAGCCCCCCAGGCCGGGGCTGCTGCGGGGGCTAGAGACCACCCTCCCGTCGTCCCGACCGGCGTGGACACTCGCCCTCCCTGTTGGCGGGGGTGCCCGCCGGCGGCAGCTCCCGAGCCAAAGGAGGGAGATCAAAGGGCCCGGTCCGCTGTTGCAGGGACTTACCTACTTAACCTACTTACCATACACCTAAGGAATCTGGCCCACTCCTTGCGATAGAGAGGGTGGGTGTGGGCTGGGGCAACCCTCATGGCCCCCAACCAGTGCTTATAGCCACTCAGTGTTCGTGCCCGCGGTGGTGAGAACCACTTTTCTGCCACGCCCCCACCCTGTTGCGCATCTCGGACCTCTGGATGCCAGACCTGGAAGAGACCCCCCCTTAGATAGGAAGGAGAGGTAATTTACCAGACTAGGGCTAGTTAAGGAACAAAGAGGAAACTGGTGCACGTAAATGTCTCAAGTAGGCCACAAAGCTTTTTACGAGACCAGCCGATTTTAAACACGGTTTTGGGCATTGAGCCACCAGGGCCTCCGACTTGGACTTAGGCTGTTGAGGGTCAGGAGAGGTAGGGTTGTGACTTGGACTTACCCTGAACTAGCTGATTCTTAGAAAATCAGGGCATTTAGAATGGGAGGAAAGTCAAATGTAGCATCTCATGATATGTGGTAGACCACTGAACTAACGATTTCAAGGTATTTCTGGGTCACTTATCAGTGAGAGTTTATGGCACCTTTGACATTGTTCTGTTGCAAAATAGTTCACCTTATCTGACTTGCCTGAGGTTTTTGTTCCAGAGGAGTGATCCCAAAACACCAGTCTTCTTCTCTTGCTCTGGTAATACCATACCTTCTCGTTTCAGGTGAAAAGATTGTTAATTACTCTGCCCTGTGATAGAATAAAACGAGTAGAAAGAGTAGAATGCTGTTTTCAAGGCTCATATAGTAGCATATCCTAATTTTGAATGCAAGGCATTAGGAAGCGCCTCGTGTACAGTTTTGGGGGTGTTTTCTGTGTGTGCAGATGCTAAGTGAGCAGGCCAGAGGCCACGGCATCCCAAGAGGCCAAGACTTTTTCAGGAGGAAGGTAGAAGAGCCTTTTTCTGTCGTCCGGAGAGGCTTCTGAGCTTCGCACGATATGGTTTTTCTGAGGTCACTTAATTTGTGACCAAATTGGCAATTCGTCTTTCTGGAGTTTTAGCTCAGTGCTTTCTCCTGCCCCCTCTTGTCTCTTGTTTCCGGGTGAAAATTGGTGAAGTGCCTTTTCTGTGAAAGACGGAATCTTGGGGTTTTTTCAGAATTGTAAGGATGGCCGACTTTGTCTCTCTTCCTCAAAAAATTCAGTCTTGTCCAAGTCAAATGCATGTATAGGTTGTGCGAACATTTTTGATCATTGACATTGTGCTTTGCTATAAATTATTGTTGAGAACACCAGGCAACATATCTACCAAACTGTAGGAAATTAGTAAAGAAAGGCTTAACCTATGTGAATGGTGTATTTTCACCAGAATGGAAGTTGAATACGATGGCGCATCGGAATGAGTAATGGCTGGTGAGACATTCTGCAGCCTCAGTGGGAAATGAGCTGCATATTTGTGAAGACGCGCAGCCTGCTTGGTGCAAATAGCTTTCGGGATCCTTGGATTGTTTGGGGGTTCCTTTTACTGCCCGTGGGTGAGTAGAGGGGAAGTAAGGGCCAAGGGAAGGAAGGTAAAGCCAATTAATTTAAAGAAGACTCAGTTTGTCTAAGTGATTGGGACAAAGGAGAGAAGGCTGAGTATAAAGTCCTGTTATAAAACAGACAGAGCTACTTAGAAATTAGGAGCTGTTGCTGTGTGCTGTTGGGTCAATTCCAGCTTACAGTGACCATATGTGACAGGGCATAACTGTCCTATAGGATTTCCTAGGCTGTGACATGTATAGGAGATCTCCAGTGGAATACTAAGTGGATTTGAACTGCCCACCTTTTGGTTAGCAGCTCAGCTCTTAACGTTTGCACCACTAGGGCTACTTCGAGGTGGGAAGACGGAATCTGAGAGTAGAGTGATAGAGGAACAAGGGTTTGACGTGTTTTGTTGGAGTAGCGCTGGAGCCCTTAGTTGGAAGTGGATGAAGTGTGTGTGCTTGGGAAATGAGATGAGGAGTCCTCAACTCTCAGCCCAAAGGGGGGCGGGGTGAGGCCAGCCACTAGATAAAAATAGAAACCCAGTGGCATGACAAAGCAACTGACACTGGTCATGTGACTAGACAGAACTCATTCTCTTAGTTGACAATAGCTTTATAAGCTCAAACACAACTGCTAGTTGGAAAACTGGCCTCGATGTAGTCTAGACAACGTAATGCTTTGAGTTATTTGATCCCTTGAGGTTGAAGAGAGACAGAAAGGAAAGTGACATTTAAGAAAAATCCGCAGTTTGGAGAGCTGACAAGCCATACATTTAACAACCAACTTTTGTATGTCCACCATGTGTTAGCACTGGATTTTGTGCTCTCACTTCCTCAACAGTCCTGAGAGTCGGAGCGTGGGATATTTCACAAATGCGAACACAGATGTAGAGCTGGGTCTATTCATTTTGTCAGAAAATGTCATCTAGCTGACATAGCAGCAGTTGCGTCTCTCGCCCTCCAGCTCTCGTTTTTTTCCTCATTCATTTTTATAAGGGGCCAGTGTGGCACTGTTGAGTAAGCTTTAGATTTGCTAACTGCAGGTTGGTGGTTCAAACCCACCAGTCTCTACAAGGGAGAAAGAAGAGGCTCTCTACTCCTGTAAAAATTTACAAAGCCTCAGAATCCCTATATAGGGTTGCTATGCATTGAAATTGACTGGATGGAGTGGGTTTATTTTTATGTTTATTCATTTATTTCCAAGTGCTATTCAGTTCTCTTTGTAATGTTTTAAGGACCTGTATTTTCCTTTTTTGCGGGTTATCTCCCCAGTTCAGCTCCTCTCCACCTCATTTTGGGCTTATTCAATTATCTCTTTCTGAACTCCAGTACCTATTCTGCTTACAAATGACTAATTTACTAGCAATAATCCTTCTTTAAAAGGTTCAAATACAGTAGGGTATTGTACTAATTTAGAAACATTTTAAAAAACCCTTTTGTTTTTGCAATCGTGTTGCACAAGTTCACATACTTTTGAGTGCTTGGGCGCTTGCTACCTTCCCGTGGTGTGGACTTGCGCAAGGTAAATCTGAAAAGCAGCCATCTCTCCCTGCTCCACTATTACCTGTTGCTGGGGATTTTGAGCCTTTTCCCATTAATTCAAACGTGTTAGAAAATTTGGAGGCCATTTACAGTTTTGGTAGTAATAATCGATTTGAATACCTCTTGGTTTCTGAACCCATAGTTTCCGCTTTGTTTTTTAAAGAAGCATAAGGTGGAAAGAACAAAAGATCGTAAGTTTCCCACTCCGCTCTGTCGGCAACTTGCTTGGTGTACTTGCACAGACAAGGGCCCTTCTGTTGGCTACTCAGTCCCACTTGTGCACAGTGAGGCCTGGGGTCAGACTATTTCTAAGGTCCTTGGATGCTTGATGATACAGATTACCACAGTTTGGGGTACTACCTGAGAGGCTCTTAAGAAGTGCACACAAATCAGCCAGCTAGGCCCACTCCATTCTGCTTTTAAACTCCTGTCTAGGTTTGTTTCTGCTTGCCTAGCAACAAAGTGAGGAGAAAAGTTTCCAGGGAATCATTTTCTGTCAAAACCTTGGACTACAAGGATATCAAACTCTTAAGTCACCCTGTGGCAAAGAGAGCAGTTTTCAAATCGGAAGAAAGCTGTTAAGTGGGAGAATGCAGTATCTGCAACCATCACTGGTTGGGCATAAGATACGGTCTGTGATGTCATAAACTGGAAGGAAGTCTGGTTTTACTTTTTCTGAATGACCTAGGAAACTGTTGTGTAAAAGTGTGGAAGAAAAGCAGGCCATGTAGCCCATCCACAGGAGAGAAGGTGGTACCCACCCACCATGGAATACTCTGCAGTGATAAAGGATGCAGATGACCCTGACATCTCACAAAACAGGTGGAGGACATTCTGCTGACTGAGAACAGTCAATCTTCAAAGGACATGTATTGTAAGAGGCTGCCATTCTAAAAAGTCCAGGGGAGAAAGGGGTTATTCACAGAAAGAATGGTTTGATGGTTCTCAGGGGTGGGAGGGGCACAGGGTGGGGTGGGGGTGGGCACTGACAATTGGACTTGGGTGAAAGGAAAGGCACAGTCCACTATAAGGAGTGGTTCCTCAGAGTAGAAGGCCACAGTAAATAGTGTCACACACCCAGTGCTACAGTGACAGCAATGGCGAACTCATTTATGAATGGATGCACAGGTAGCCGTTTAAGTTGAACAAGTGTCAGGTCGCATATGGAAGAACACCCACGCGCATCTAGGAGACTTCAAAAAATTTGTGGGAAAATTCCGCTGTCTTCTCCTTTAATTTTCCCATGACCGTTTTGAAGCCCCGTCGTATAGATTGGGCAGAGAATATTTCTGCATCAGCGCTTATATGTGCTGCAAATCGATCTAGGTCAAGCGTTGAGCATACAGAGGCCAGTGTGACACTCACCTTTAGCTGAAGCTTGAGTTACTGGGCACGGAAGCTGAGCCTCATAGTCAGTGTAGGAATGTGGGGCTTGTAGGTTAGCTGGCATACAGTAATTTATAAAGAAGATGCTTCAGAATCTACTTTGATCTGTTTCCATGAGGAGCAAAGGAAAGTGAAGAAAATCAAAGATCTAAGGAATCATTTAGTCCAGAAGAGTAATGGACCACATGAGTCCACCCTCACTATCCTGAGGTCAGAAGAACTAGTGGGTGCTTACTTGGGTGTCCAGCAGAAGATCCTGGGCAGTGGGGTGGAGGGGTGGGGATGTAGACCAGAATTCAC